TCATTTGCGTAGAAAATTTGGATTAAAGCTATTAATTCGGGATAATTGAGTAGTTCAGAAGAAAATGGGGATTAAAGCTAGTAATTCTGGATAATTGACAGTAGTTCAGAATTCTGTTTGTAAGTGACGAAACTAGTCGTTTAGTTTATGTTATTTTCGTGTCTCAGTTACCTGGAAAAAATTAATAGGAAATAAACTCATATATTGAGACTTTTGAAGTTTTATTAATATAGTTTGTTCTTTTGAAGATTTAAACAGAGTATTTTCAGTTAATTACTGAGAAAGAAATGTTAGAGACGCCTAATGCATTGATTTGGGTTTGTAGATTGCGCCACAGGGGTCCTGATTGGAGTGGTTTGCATTGTCATGAGGATTGCTACCTTGCTCACCAACGTCTGGCTATAGTAGATCCGACTTCAGGGGATCAGCCACTCTACAATGAAGATAAAACAATAATCGTCACGGTAATTTTGTTAGTACCTCATAGATGGTTTGAGAACATATGTTTCAATAAGCTTTTATTTCATCTGCCAGTCTCAGAAAATGAGTTATATGCATATTCATGTTTGTCTTATAGACACAATTATTCTCTATTTTCTTGTACAACACGTGCTTGCATACGTGTCTGGAAGAAATTGCTTCCTTGAGTTCTTTTTGATGAGTTTGTGGAAGTATTTTGAGAATTATTTAGCATTTTCTTTTTGACTTGCAACAAGTTGATTCGTGATGATGCATTTCTTAAGCTTTGCTGTTCTTTTTTCGCCAATTTGATGTCTATTCCACTGAGTATTGCTAGACTTGGGGAAAGAAGGTTTAGATGAGTACTTGTTCAATCGCAGCATTATTATCTAACCTTTTGTAATGCATCAATTGATGAAACTCCGTTTTCAGGTTAACGGGGAGATATATAACCATAAGCAGTTGAGAGAAAAGTTGAAGTCCCATCAGTTCCGAACTGGAAGCGACTGTGAAGTGATTGCTCATCTCGTAAGTGCATGAGTTTGCAAAGTTGCTTCATTTTCTGTTAGCACCGCGGACAGTGGATGTAGTTAACTAAAAATTCCTGTCTTACCTTGTTTTTGTTATCTTAGCTACCGTTTCTGCTAGGTAAAGCTTAAAGAACTTGATAATTTTCTGAAATTGTATTTTGGCCCTACAGTATTGAACCCTATTATTTTGTCCACCTCATTTTCTCTTTAATTAAATTTTGTTGCTTACCATTGGCAGTATGAAGAATATGGAGAAGAGTTTGTTGACATGTTGGATGGCATGTTTTCATTTGTCCTTCTTGATACTCGTGACAAAAGCTTTATTGCAGCCAGGGATGCTATTGGTATCACCCCACTTTATCTAGGCTGGGGTCTTGATGGTACGCATCTTTTTGTTAGTTTTTGTGTTTTAATGTTGCTGTGCTAATTTTCTCGGAAGTTGCTTATTCTAAGAATTCTTTTTTCGTTTCTTCTTGAATGATAGCTAATAGCTATTGCATAAAGTTGCATTGATTCAACTTTAAAATGCATGGATTTATGTGAATTCCATGTCATATATGAACCTGGACATGATGGAGCCTGGCTGCATATAGGAGATCTGCTACTCTTATGTCGTTCATAGGAAAGAATTTTACGTCTTTCCTAATAGATATTCACTTATCTGGTCATCTAGTTGGTACTGGGACTAGGACAAAACTGTTTTGTTATTGCTTATTTCCATACTTTTTGAGCTCCTAATGCAACAATATTTATTGACACCCCAAGTCCCCTCCCCCCCTCTTGGCATGCGTGCAACCCTCTTTTTCTTTTCCTTTTTTTTTTTCTTTAAGGAATTAGTTAAATGGAGTTTGGGGTGGTGGAGGAACTGTAAGTAAAGATTTTTTAATTAGTAATGCTAGTATATGATTTCAAAAGTAGTTTCAGCTGAGCAGTGACTAGTCCTTGGCCATGGATGGGACAATCTTAAATCACAGGGGAGAAATTTGTGCTTTATGATAGACCTAAATATACAATTTAGAATTTTTTATTTTCTTATTTTGTCTGTAGAAATCTGAATTTCCAACTATTTTGATGTTTGCCAAATAATTAACTTTTTCTTTGGCGGTGCATAAAGTATGCTTCTTTGCATTTGTAGTTTATTGTTGTATGCTGTGGGAAATGCATATATCCTGATTAATCAATGTTAATTATTTTGCAGGGTCGGTTTGGTTTGCTTCTGAAATGAAAGCTTTGAGTGATGATTGTGAGCGATTCATGTCCTTCCTCCCAGGGCACATATATTCAAGCAAACAAGGTTCGTTTATGTTAAGTTGCACGATACTGAACCACTTTAACTTGAAGGATTATTTTGGGCCGCATTTCTTGCTTTGAGTCCAGGAATTTGTCCACAACTAGGAAACTATTATGGTAATTAGTTTTGCAATCACATGAAAATCAGTTTATAATCAATTCTGGAAGGGAAAACTTCTTTTCTCCTTTGACCCTCTTGCTGCTTAGGGGAGAAAAAATTAACAGACTGAATGATTTGCCTTTCTTAAGTCGCCAAGATGTGGTTGCCAAAATCATACCATACTTAATCTTTTCTAGCATTTAGAGTTGTTTGAAAAATTATGTTTCTAATATTTTGGTTTCTCCTTCGCTTTTTTCTTTAAATAAACTTTAAGGACATCGTCTTTATTTGTTATGATGTTGCATGTAATGCCCTTAATAATTTTTATCTCATACAGGAGATCTCAGAAGATGGTATAACCCACCATGGTACTCGGAGCGGATACCTTCTGCTCCATATGATCCCAAACTTCTAAGGGAGGCCTTTGAGAAGGTATGTTCTAAACTTATAATTTCTTTTTTCTTTTCTGTTTTTGTTTTATTCGATCTACAGTCATCTCTCTCTTTCCCCCTGACATGCAATTACTTGCTTTTGTCGCTTAAATTACTTTGTACCTTTTCTACTATCTTCTTGTTGATCTTTTTTCTGTACTGCAAGCTGTGTTGAAGAGACTAATGACAGATGTTCCATTTGGTGTACTTTTGTCTGGAGGACTGGACTCTTCACTTGTTGCTGCTGTAGCATCACGCCATATGACTCAATCAGAAACTGCTCGCCAGTGGGGTTCACAATTGCACACATTTTGTATTGGTCTGAAGGTTGTTCTAGTTACTTTCATTTGGATAGCTATCTTTTTCTCTATAGAAGATTTTATAACTCTAATACGAACTTCTGAAAATAAACTTAAAAGATATTCTCCATCTCATGTGCCTTTGTAGTATTAAATTTATGTATTGAGATAAATTTCCAGGATTGGAACCTACAGATATGTTTTTCTACTCTTTAGATAGAGCTGTTAAGACATTGGATCTTGGGAAACAGCAGAATCGAATCCACATGTTTTTAAATTTTTGTGCTTCAGGGTTCCCCAGATCTAAAAGCTGCCAGAGAGGTAGCAGATCATATTGGGACTCGTCACCATGAGTTTCACTTCACTGTCCAGGTAATTTTTGTCCTTCCAATGGTGAGACAAGTAAAAAATTATTGTATGAATTATTTCACTAATTTGCTTTCAGTTCCTGGCTCACAGGAAGGCATAGATGCTCTGGAGGAAGTCATTTACCATATTGAAACATATGATGTAACCAGCATTAGAGCCAGCACTCCTATGTTTCTTATGTCTCGGAAAATCAAATCTTTAGGAGTAAAAATGGTTCTTTCAGGAGAAGGTTCTGATGAAATTTTTGGAGGTTATTTGTATTTCCACAAGGCACCTAACAAAAAGGAGCTTCATGAAGAAACATGTCGAAAGGTAATCTCTGTGGTCAGACTTTCCCCTTCTCTCTCCTCCTCCCCCAATTTCACATTTTTCTTCTTTTCTGTTGGAGTCTATAGGAACTCCTTGTGGTCATAAGAAAACTTGGGAATGATTCTGTTCTATTATTTATAGCTTTCCTTTGTGGTTTATTGGTTCTTACGGCCTCTTTAATAACTCGACAGATAAAGGCTCTTCACCTTTATGATTGCCTAAGGGCTAACAAGGCAACTTCAGCATGGGGTGTTGAGGCTCGTGTTCCCTTTTTGGATAAAGAATTTATCAATCTAGCAATGAGCATTGATCCAGAGTGGAAAATGGTATGAAATTTCAAGCTTGGTTTCCGTAATATTCTGTGTACTTTGGGGTTTGCATCTGGTGCATGATATGGAGGACTTTCTAGTTATTGCTGCAAAGTAGTTTGTTAATGGATGTGTTCATAAGTTGTCACCTAGAATTAGAAAATCTGTATTCTACATTCTGTATTTTGTAGCACAAGCTGGAGAAGTGTGTGATAGATTTCGTTGATGTTTCTCAGGTGAGGCCTGATCTTGGAAGAATTGAGAAGTGGGTATTACGCAATGCATTTGATGATGATGAAAAGCCGTATCTGCCTAAGGTCATTAAGTTTCTGCTTTCTTTCATTCTACAATCATGCTGTCAAATTTACTGTTCTTTTGTGTTTGTGCTTACTTCCTCCATTCCTAGCTAGTATTCCTATGGCCATATGCTTGCATTCTTCAATAATAGAATCTTTCCTGCATTTTGCTCTTCTTGTTCTGGTGGATTCAGCATATCTTATACAGGCAGAAAGAACAATTTAGTGATGGAGTTGGATACAGTTGGATTGATGGTTTGAGGGATCACGCAAACAAACAAGTAAGACATGCTTTCGATTTGTGTTAATGATTATCCAATTCCAATATTTCCATTGATCTTTCCTTTTAACTGCAAATTGAGAAGTTATATTTTTCATTGCTGACCAGGTTACGGATACAATGCTGATGAATGCAAGCTGCATTTACCCTGAAAATACTCCTACCACAAAAGAGGGATACTATTATAGAGCTATTTTCGAAAAGTTTTTCCCTAAGGTGTAGTATTATTCTTTATCTTTCTTCTAACTCTCATCTTTTGTTAGTTGGCATACAAGAAATAATTGAAACATTGAACCTCTTAATTAGGGGATTTTTTTGGCTCTTACTTGTAACCTAGTGGGGCCCCAAGATTTTCTGGATTATCACCTGATCTTGTCATTCTGGATATTGTTTTGTTTATTTTTTTTTTCCTGAAAATGTCTTTTTAAAAAGTGTGTTGATTCATTTTAATTTCCTAGCAGAGTGCTGCAAGGTTAACAGTTCCAGGAGGTCCAAGTGTAGCGTGCAGTACTGCAAAAGCAGTGGAGTGGGATGCGGCTTGGTCAAAAAATCTTGACCCATCTGGCCGTGCTGCTCTTGGCATTCATGCAGCTTCTTATGAGGAATCAACAGATGTTAAGACTGCCAATCTTGTGGATGGTCCTTCTAAGAAACTACAAAGTCTTGCCGTTAAGACTGCCACTGTTGTCTGAGAACTTCAAGAGTCTGGTGGCTTTTTCCTTGCAGTTAAGGTACTAGATTATGGTCCGCTCAGAATATATATAAATAAGAATAGTTAGAATATAGTAGTATTTTAATATCAATTTCAATTCATTTTTTGTAGATTTCTGATTCTTAACTAAGTAGGAGCAAAAAAAATCTATCTCCAAGGAATTGAAGGTAGGAAGGTAGGAGCAAAATGAGTTTGGACATGAGAATTATTATCTACTTTTACAGATTGGAGAGTGTTAGAAGATTAAAAAAAAAAAAAGAAAGATTTGGAATTAGATGAAATTGATTCCGGTCAACGTTGAGGGAATTATTGACTGATATA